TTAAATTCGGGATGGGAAGGTCACACACGACATAGCCCGTTTATCGTGAGAAGTCTAAATTAAAACTGGAGGTCGACAGGTATCCAGAGTTCGCATATTAAAGACCAACTATCCATGGCCATTCATCCCTCGGCATATGCTGTTCCACCTTGGATTTGAGCTTTGATTTAAGACGCTTTTACATGCGTCCGCCCGATTACAATTAGCCAGCACTCATAGCAGAGACATGACCATACTATGAGCCTGTTTCTAGCCGCCCCCGCGTAGAGGATGTAATCACACTACCGACAGTATACAGCAGTTACGGCACATACACAAAGTACGTGTTTATCCCCCTGTGTATCTGACGGCTGACAGCCATCGTAATGCTGTTATTAGATAACAAATTTCAAAAGAATATTACTAAAAATTTGTAAAATATTTATATTGAAACTGCATTTAGCATGAAAACTCAAAAAAATGTTCTATTGATTAGAATCTTAAATTGAATATTAAATAAATTTTAACTATAAATAAAACTATTTTGAAATCAAATACGTTCATTCATATAGTATATAAGACTAATGTTGCATAATTTGTAAGGACATTTGTACCTCAAAACATTTTTCTTATTATTATCATTATGGAATAATTTAGTATATAATTTTTAAATGATTCTATGTAAAATATAAAGAAAATTTATTATTATAGTGAAAAATGCACATTTTAATATTAATTTCAGATGAATATCCCAGCAGCAGCCTTAAAGAAGCAATCACGGAGAAAATGTTATCAGAAAAAGAAGTGCCCAATTCAATAGAAAATAAAAGTATAAAGATGGAGTCGAATATTACAGATGATCAAACATCAATTGAAGATGAAGTTGTTGTTGAGCAATTTATAAAAAATGAAGTACCTGAAATAAGTACAGAGCAATTGTTATTAGAAAACGAAGTATATACTATTACAATGTTAGAAAATGAGAGTATAAGAATGAGGCCTGACCAAATTCCGTTTAAAGATTGCGTTACAAAACAACAACGTATAACAGAAGAAGCAATTGAAACAAGTACAAACCAATTATTATTAGAACATGAAGAAACCTCTAGACTTGAAAAAATTAATCTAAAAATCGAACCAAATTTTACTGTTCGTGAACCTAAACTTGATGATATTACAGATGAACAAGAATTTATAAAAAATGAAGTACAGTATGACCTCGATTAATGCAAGCCTCCAATATTCAAAAAACGCAAGTGGAAATATTTTGAAAATATTTGAATAACCAGAAGCAACTTAATATATCTACATGTGCTGTCTTATGTTTAATAATTAATCTTGATTTTTAACTTATTATGATTTATACTTCGGTTACTTTTTCTGTAAAGTAGAGAATAAATTATTGCAGATAGCAATTTGTAAACAAATTGTTCTATAATTTGTTCGAAATGACTCGAACTAGTAATGGGAATTCCATTTATTTATTGATATATGATAGATATTTTAAGATATACATAAGTCATAAAATAAAATTGTGAGTTTATAGATTTGATAAAAATAATAAATAGTAACTATTTCTTTAGTTATATAATCAAAACAATTTTTTAATAAATATATATCACACCTAGAAGAAGTAAACTTCGTCCTAGAAGTAAGGAAAATGCTGTGTTTTTAAATTATTTTAGTTCGTTTGTAACTTAGTATTCTTATCGTATAATCCAAGTTTTTTAAATGGAGTTTTCTATCGTTTTTTTTTTTTTTTTGTGAATAATGTATAATAGTACTAATATTTAAACTAAAACCTTTTAAAGTTAATTAATAGGATGTGTTAGCAATGAAGTGCCTTGAATTATTTTGGAGTATCTTAGAAAACGTATTCTATACCAAACAAGTAGGTACATTTTTTTTTGTGTAAGTATATAATAGTGTTCGTTTAATTACGATTACAGGTTCACTTTTCAGCAACAATACCTTAGTACTTGAGTAAATGCTCCTACTTGTTGTTAGGTATTATGCAACTAGTTTCTGTTATGAATAGCACCAAATTTGTTTAGGATATCAAATAGTGCAGTCTCCCGTGTTGTTATATTGTATACAATGAAATTGACGAGACTCACAAGAAGTTTTATGTATTCTGCAAACTTTCAAGAGTCATGGTTTAATAGACTACATGTATGTTAAAAGCAAATTCGTAGGTAGTTTAAAATATTTAGTAGTATAATGCTTAATACACATACTAGTGTGGAGCAAATGCTGATCTGTCCGCTATAAAAACGGATTTCTCTTCATTAATGTTCAAATGTTCGCTAAAATCGGCTCTTTTTTTCATCAGGTAACTGCGAAATTGATATAGAAGTAGTAATTGAAGAAGACATCCTAGATAATGTTAATAAAACTTTCGAACCGTATTTAAAGAGTTCAATGTATTATTTGAAGACTTGAGTATGTGGAAAGGGTGCGGATTAGATATTTTATTGGCTACTTTGTTCACTATAGTATTTTAAAAGAAAATGAAATTCTTACAGCTTACAGCTCATCATTACTTGAGAATGCACTTATCAGTACTTATAGTATGTTGAGAAAAAGAACCCAAGTATCGAGCATTAGAATATATATATACATATTTACATATATTTGTATTCATTATAAGCAATCTCAAATATTGTATATTTTATTTTCTAAGTTGTATGATTTCCTGTTATATTTTATATTGAAAATTTTAGTTTTATATATAATATGTATTATAAATGTTATTATTTCCGCTTTTAGTTTTATTTAATCTTTAATTTAGATTTTATACTCGTAATTTAATTATGTTGTATTATATTATATACTATTATATTATTTTGCATATTATGCACTTTAAACAATTTGAATGTAAAATCAACGATGAGGTAATCTTTAGAAAATAACTTTCGTGTAAATGTGAACTTATCGTGCGATATATATTGCAACTCTGGGGTAAAGAAACATTTTAAATGTTTGTTTTTTATTTACCTTTTTTGACACATTTAAGACAGTAACAAATATTAGGTAGATCGCGTTGTAAAAATATTAAGCTAATATATATTTCGTTACTTGTATTTAATATTATTGAATATGTAATAGAATACCTAATTAAGAGATTAAGTTATTACCGAAGTTTTCAATCAATTTCAACTTCCAAATTTGAGAAGCATCGTATTGCAAAATTTTTATTTAATTACGAATAAATAGTCAAATAAAACTTAAAAAATGTTTTAAATATATGCAAGCTCTTAAATGATCTTTAGAAGTTAATATAATGTAAGAACGTAAAAGAGGTCAACTATATGTAAAAGGATCTATTATCCATATCCGATTTTATACACAAAAAACCATTGCGTTCTATTTCTTTCGTATTGTTTATGCTACCTTCTGTTCGATGCAAAAATAATTTTCAATTTTAACCATATACTATATTTTATGTGGTTGCTGATGATGTAAAATATAATTTCATTCCGTAATCTGTAACTGCTCTAAACATATTACGAAAAAGTTCCGTCGAACACCTAAATGAAATAGTCGAGACTAATATTACGATACCATAAAATCAAAAAAGGACGGAGACTTATGGCTAATATTACTTAATGCATATCACTGAATGCAAAGTGCATTTTAAATAAAGTTGTCAAAGCAAATATAGAAAAATTATTATTATAAAAGAGTTTGCGATATTCTAAAATATAGAAGTATAATATGAAACCTAAAGTTACTGTTCCTGAATGTCTGGATGGTTCCATCACAAATGATCGCACATCAATTGAAAATGACATCATTGCTCAACAATTTATTAAGAATGTAGTATCTAAAACAAGTACAGAAAACGAAGAGTACTCTGTTATAACATTAGAAAATTATACCATAAAAACGGAACCGGAAATAAATGTTTCTAAAACTCTAGTTAGTGGTATTGTAGATGATCGGTCGTATCTCGGAAATGGCGATGTTTTACAAATAATAAAAGATAAAGTAACTAAACCAACCACAAAGCCATTATTAAAAAATAATTCTGTTTCAAAGTAAGTTTTTAAATTTAATATAATATATAAAATATTAACTTAAATTATTTGTTTTGAAATTTCTGCAGGAAACATGAACTTACACATAAAAAAGACAGATATTTAAATTGTGATATATGTGGGAATAAGTTTTCGTCACTGAGTGCGTTGACAGTGCATCGCCGCACTCACACTGGAGAAAGACCTTACTCATGCACTGAAGTAATATATTGCTTTAATTTTTATTTTACGAGACTAAATAAGAATATGTATATTTGTATAGTGTAATCAAACTTTTTCTAATAAGAGCGCACTTGACTATCATATGAAGTTACATTCAGGTGAAAAGCCTTACACATGCCCTCAAGTATACTTTTCAATTATTTATATATAATATATAACATAAATAAATATTGGTTTTAGTGTAAAAAAAGTTTTGCTGTTAAAACATATCTCTACCGTCATATGAAACGACATACTGGTGTAAAACCTTACGGATGCACTGAAGTAAATATTGCAATTATTGTCATATATAAATTCTATATGTAATGAGTATATATTTTTAACAGTGTAAACAATCTTTTACTCGTAATGAAACACTTAAACGACATATGAGACGACATACTGGTGAAAAACCTTTTACATGCACTGAAGTAAATATTTCTGGTAATTGTAATAAATTTTTGATAACATTTATAATATACTATTTATAGTGTGAGAAACGTTATTGCTCTCAAAAGTCGCTTAATCTTCACATGAGGCTACATACTGGTGAAAAGCCATACAAATGCACTGAAGTATATAGTTCCATTATTTTTATTTAAAATTAAATACAATAATATATATAATTTTATTAGTGTCAAGAATGTTTTGCTCGTAAAGAAGGACTCAATATTCATATGAGGCAGCATACGGGAGAAGAACCTTATAAGTGCACTGAAGTAATATATAGCTTTAATTTTTATTTTACGATACTAAATAAGAATATATATATTTGTATAGTGTAATCAAGCTTTTTCTGATAAGAGCTCACTTAACATTCATATGAAGTTACATTCAGGTGAAAAGCCTTACACATGCCCTCAAGTATGCTTTTCAATTATTTTTATATAATATATAACATAAGTAAATATTGATTTTAGTGTAAAAAAAGTTTTGCTGTTAAAACATATCTCTATCGTCATATGAGACGACATACTGGTGTAAAACCTTACGCATGCACTGAAGTAAATATTGCAATTATTGTCATATATAAATTCTATATGTAATGAGTATATATTTTTAACAGTGTAAACAATCTTTTACTCGTAATGAAACACTTAAACGACATATGAGACGACATACTGGTGAAAAACCTTTTACATGCACTGAAGTAAATATTTCTGTTAATTGTAATAAATTTTTGATATCATTTATAATATACTATTTATAGTGTGAGAAACGTTATTGCTCTCAAAAGTCGCTTAATCTTCACATGAGGCTACATACTGGTGAAAAGCCATACAAATGCACTGAAGTATATAGTTCCATTATTTTTATTTAAAATTAAATACAATAATATATATAATTTTATTAGTGTAAAGAATGTTTTGCTCGTAAAGAAGGACTCAATATTCATATGAGGCAACATATTGGAGAAGAACCTTATAAGTGCACTGAAGTAAATATAAAACTTATTTTCACATATGGATATAATAAGTATATATACATTACAGTGTAATAAAACTTTCTTGGTTAAGATCAAACGCAATCAACATATGAGGGAACATTTTGGTCCGAAACCGTTCGTTTGTACTCAAGTTAATAATGCAATTATTTTTATTTAAAATTTAATATAATAAATATATATATTTTCTATAGTGTAACCAAAGTTTTACTGTTAAGCACGCATTCAATTGTCATATGAGGCGACATACCGGTGAAAAATCTCATAAAACTAATAAAGAGTAAATATTTCTATTTATATAGATTATATTTAATAATGGTTTTAAATTCTAGACTTAAACAGCATATCGAAATTCATGTATGTGAAGACACACAAAAAAAGATGGCTCAGAAACATAAATTCAAGTGCAAAGAGTGCACTGCCATGTATGCGACAGAGGAAGAACTTAAAAATCATTTAGATGTTGGTTTTCATATGGGTAAGATATAGGTCATATATTTTTAACAAATATAATATAATATTTTAGTATATTGAGAAGTGAATGAAAGAAATCAGTAATTGTTAATTTAAAAATGAGATTGGTACTTTGACTTTATATACATATAACACAATAGTTTATTTTTTGTGTGGGTTGCTTGCAAGAGTATATGATCGTAATGCTGTTAGAATAGAATAGAAATAACAGGGTACTAGCTCCCATTTGAGCAGAGCACTGCGACCATGATTGATCTTTTGTGCTACAACAGACCCTAACTGAACAATAGACATTCCGCCTTTCGAATGAAGGTCAAAATGTCGGTTGTTGAGGACTTCCTAATGTCGGAAGGTGAAAGCAATTCCCGACCCAGTGATCTCCTCCTGACCCAGATCAGAGCTGGGCAGTCACATAAGATGTGGCTGGTTGTCTCCTCTGCCTCTAAGCAGAGTCTACAATCTATCTCTTCAGATAGGCCCATTTTGTTGAGATGGTAACGTAGCCCATGGTGACCCGTTAGATATCCCACTAGCATCCTCAACTCTGTTCTGCTGAAAGTGGATATCTTATTGTAGCTATAAGGGAGAACCAGCTCTTTAGCCTGACGGTTACCTCGACTGTCGCGCCAGTAGCGACTTCTCTCGGTTGAAATCCAATCATTGATTAGAGACCTAGTTGTAGACCAACTTAATCCACAGAAAGGTTCTGGGCCACATATTAGAGTGGCGGATCCTGCCCGTGCAAGACTATCGGCAGACTCATTGCCATGGATTCCTGTGTGACCAGGCACCCAGCACAGTGTCACTTTATTATTGCTTGCCAGCTGCTGCAGTGTGTCATAGCAGTCTGCTAGAAGCTTTGAGAAAAACTTCCAGGAGCATAACGCTTTAATTGCTGCTTGACTATCTGAATAAATACAGATTCGGGCGCCTTTCAACCCTTTGTTAATGTTGATACGAGCGCAGACCTCGATGGCGTGAACCTCTGCTTGGAAGACAGTGGGCCATATACCCAGCGCGAGCGAGATTCTGGTGTTAGGACCAAATATTCCAGCACCAACTCCTTCTTTGGTTTTTGAGCCATCAGTATACCATGATATCACTTTTGGTTCAAATCCAGGAGTGCCATTTACCCAGTCCAGTCGATCGGGTATGAGGACTTCGAACTTCCTACCGAAGCGAAGTTCCATGTTCATGCGATCTGTCCTATCGCAGATCTCTATGCCAGGAACTAGTCTGCAGATAGAGTTTTGACTGACGAGACTTCCGTGCATGTCGATGACAGGGTGTAGCCTAGCTGCACTCATAGCTGCTGTCTTTTTAATAAAGAGATGCAGAGGGGTGAGACCCACTATGGACTCCAGTGCTGATGTGGGACATGTTCGAATAGTTCCCGTCATAGCGATACATACGAGTCTTTGCAGTTTATTGCATTTGACTATTGCAGCACTTTGTTGCGCTTTATTCCACCAAACAAGAGCTGCGTAGGTTACAATGGGTCTGACCATTGTGCGGTATAACCATGATATAATTCTAGGACTTATGCCCCAGGTTCTACCATATGAGGTCCTACATGTCCACATGACCCGGATGGCTTTGCCAATTATATTATTCAGGTGAGTGTTCCAGTTAAGACGCTTATCTAGGGTGACCCCCAAATATTTGACTTCATCGGAGCATTCGATAGCCGTATCCTTAATAGATAGGGACCCAATATTTACTTTGTACCTTCTGGAAAAAGGCACAATTACCGCTTTTTTTGGGTTAATACTTAGGCCTTCTTTGATACACCAGTTCGAGACTTTGTGTAATGCTGCTTGCATTACATCTGTAATTGTGGTGTCAAATTTACCTGTAACAATGATTGCCAGGTCATCCGCATAACCTATGGCATGATATCCAGATTGTTCCAGTTTAACTAGTAAGTCATCGACTACCAGCGTCCATAACAATGGTGAGAGAACCCCACCCTGGGGGCAGCCCCGTACAGCATTAATGCTGACGATAGTGCTACCTAACTTGGAGGATATGTTCCTATCACGCAACATTCTATCTATCCACGTTATTGTACATGAGTCTATATCTTTACGGGCCAGTGCTCCAGATATGGATTCGTAAGATGTGTTATCGAAAGCTCCCTCTACGTCCAGAAATGCACATAAGGCGATTTCTTTAGATTGAAACGTGCTTTCGATTTTGCTGACTAAATGATACAGCGCGACCTCTGTAGATTTGCCTTTTGAGTAGGCATATTGGGTGGAGTGGAGTGGGACAGTTTGTTCCAATTTATTCCGTATGTACAGATCAATCAGCCTTTCGACGGTTTTCAATAAGAAAGACGTAAGACTAATGGGTCTGTAAGACTTAGGTTGGTCCATAGGTTTGTTCCCAAGTTTGGGAATGAAGATCACGTTCACTCCTCTCCAGGAATGAGGGATATAACCCATAGTAAAACAAGCCCTAAAGAGTTTTATTAATGGGTCTATGATGATATCTATGCAATTCTGCAATAGAGCAGGGTAGATACCATCGCCTCCAGGCGCCTTAAATGGTTGAAATGAGTTGATCGCCCATTTCACCTTGTCCCTGTCAAAAATAACACCAGATAGTGCGTATTCCTGACCTGTAGGAGCAGTAATTTCCCTATATGAATGTGATGTGGGTGGTCCGGATACGGAACCAGGGAAGTGTGTTTGCAAGAGAAACTCGAGGGTATCTTCACGACCAGTAGTGAATGATCCGTCGGGTTTTTTTAAAAGTCCTACTTCATTTGTTTTGACCTTATTTAAAGCCTTGTGTAGTCTAGCAGCCTCAGGCAACCTATCAATACTATCACAATGGCTACGCCAGCTGGCCCGTTTGGACTGTCTGATTGAATTGTTGTAGTCGGTGAGTGCAGTTCTATACTGTTCCCAACTACCAGAGCGTTTTGCTCTATTGAATAAGCTTCTTACTAGTTTACGCTTATTAGCTAGTTGCGTGTTCCACCAAGGAACCTTACCTCTAATCGAAGCATTACCTGCAACCGTGCTGTTGTGAAAGGAGGTCAGTAAAACCTCACCTAAATGGTTTGCAGCCAACTCTATCTCTTCACGAGTTTTTAGTGGCCTAGCTAGAGAAAAGTTTTCGGAACCCACCAAGTCCCTGTACCTAAGCCAGTTGGTTTTCCTCGGCCGGTACACTTTATCTTGCTGCTCGGATATACTGGGAATTTCAAACCTAATATGTTGATGGTCTGAGAGGGACACTTCGTCCGACACTCGCCAATTCCATATAGATTCCTCAATACCCCTAGTGCAAAGAGTGAGATCTAATACCTCTTCTCTAATTGCATTAATAAAAGTGGGTTTACTACCTTTGTTAGCTATACTTAATCCTACCGACATAATATAATCTAATAGGTACTCACCCCTTTTATTATCATTGCTGCTCCCCCACACTGTGTGGTGGGCATTAGCGTCACAGCCCAAGATTAGCTGTCGCCCAGTGGACTTGCAGAAGTTGATCAGCTGCTGGACTTCCGATGGTGGAATGGTTACTTCATCACCTGGGAAGTAGGCAGAGGCCATGACTATATCTGTGGCCCCTCCTAGTGTTGGGACTTCGACTAGAACCGCTGCTAGGTCTCTAGAAATAAAGTTTGTTAACGGAAGATATTTTACATCTCCACCGATTAGGATAGCTGCACGTGGCACTGCTATCGAACGGTCATAAACCAGCTTACCTGATTTTGTGTTGAGACCCCGTATTTGGCCATCAAACACCCACGGCTCTTGGATAAGTCCTAGAGCGATGTTATTGATTTGGGCAATTCTGCACAAGGTGGCCGATGCTTCCTTAGCATGGTGCAGATTTGCCTGGAGCACTTCAAGAGCGCTCATTATGTCTCGTTAAGAGACTTACGGACGAGACTTTCACGCTTGTCTCGTCGAGAACCTTTATTTCTATCACCCTTTGATTGCTTCGGTAAAATTTTACCGATTAAGGGTGTTTTATTGGTAGCGGTCCGTGGTTTACCTGCTACAGTTGCCGTGCCCGTGGAGGGCATTGTGGACTTTGTTACCGAGGTGGGAATCTGAACAGCACGCCCACTGGCAGAGCACACAGCCTTGCTTGTGGAGGGACGTGTGTTTAGTTCCTCTTCCTCAGGAACAGTCACTGTTGGGCAATCATCCGTAATGGATGCTGCCGGAGCCGAGGATGATTGGATTATATTATCATCCTGAACCACC